TGGTTTCCCAAAGGTGTGTGAGTGAGTGTGAGCGAGTTGCAAGTGTGCAGTGTCCATGGAAGCCAAAGAGGGTTCCAGCCCTGAAGCTGAATTACAAGTGGTTGTGAGCTACCATTTGTGTGCAGGGAATCAACCCAGGTCTTCTGGAAGAGCAGCCTATGCTCTTAACTCCTGAACTCTCTCTCCAATCCCATGATATTTACCTAATGAATAGCATAGTGGATTTGTTACTATTAAAGGTAAAGCTCATATATATGCCACTTGAATTGTATACCACACTTTCAGGAACATTGATTTACATAGTTCGTTAGTGTAGACATTGAATACCTGAACCTCTTCACAAATTTATACAACTACTAGTACCAAAAATAGAGCCCAGCTGGCCTTCCCTCATGTTGCTATCCTGTACTATTGTAAGCAGTCACGAGACTGTCAAAGAACAGTGTCACCTGGGCATTAATGGTGCATAGAGCTGTAGTTCTACTGCTAGAGCCTGAGTCAGGAAGATTGCCATGAGTTTCAAAAAAGTGAGTTCTAAAGGCCTAGAGAAATGGCTCAGTCGTTAAGAGCACTGACTGCTGTTCCAGAGGTCCAGGGTTCAATTCCCAGCACCCACGTGGCAGCTCACAACTTTCTCTAACTCCAAGATCTGACACTGTCACACAGACATACATGCAGACAAAATACCAATATATGTAAAATAAAAATAAATAATTTTTAAGAAGTGAGTTCTAGACCAGCCTGAACTAAAAAGTGAGGCCGTGTCTCACCAGGAGAGACAGGGAGCCGTGTACTGGGCTATGAGAGGTGAAGGCCTGGTAAAGGGAGTGCGTGGGGTGGGTGACCTGAGAGGCACTTCCCCAGCCTTCCAGCAGAGGGCAGCTGCCCGCCTCCCCGGCCTTCCAGAGGGAGATGGGAGGAGGGCCTTCAAGGCTTTAGGCTCCAGCCCTACTTTAAACTTTGGAAGAATCTTCCTACTTAACTCTTGAGGTAGGAAGAGAAGGCAAGCATCCAAGCCAGATGTCTTGGTGGACACTGAAATATTTGCAGTTTCCTGTTCTGGGACTGCGGAGGTTTTTTGAGTAGATTTTATGTGTGTGTGGGGGGGGTAGAGTTCCTACTTGGCCTTCTGAGAAAATCTATTTTAGATTGTGAGTGAAGAGACCAGCAATGAGAAGCTACAGTAGCAATGTAGTGTAGCAGTGACAGAAACTTAGCAAAAAGTTACGGAAATTGCCGGGCGTTGGTGGCGCACGCCTTTAATCCCAGCACTCGGGAGGCAGAGGCAGGTGGATCTCTGTGAGTTCAAGGCCAGCCTGGTCTACAAAGCGAGTGCCAGGACAGCCTCCAAAACTACACAGAGAAACCCTGTCTCAAAAAAACCAAAAAAAAAAAAAAAAAAAAAACAAAAGTTACGGAAATTTTGCTTGATTGCATGGGAGTGAATTCCAGTAGCCTGTGGGCCCAGCCTCTCAGATCCTCTGCTGACCACCCAGTGCCTTTTGTTACTGTGTTTTATTAAGAACTTATAAAAGAAGAATAAGACCTTACAACCAGGAGAAAATAGAGTAGAAAGAGCACCTAGAGGTGTGATTCAGTTACTGTCTGCTTCTCTTGCAGGGCATGGTAGCAGTGTCCGGCAGTTTGTCAGTGCTCCTGGATTCCATTATCTGCGCTCTCGGCCCTTTGGCATGCCTGACCACACAACTACCTGAACTGAACGGCTGTCCCAAACAGGTCTTGGTGAGTTTTGTTTTCCTTAACTTCTTAGGGCTGTGGCCTTTGGGAGTCAGAAAGCCTCCGTGATGAGCACACTAAGCACTGCTCCTGGGGCTTGGTGGCACATGGTACTTCTATCACATACTGTCCCACAGAAGATGACACTGTATTTATTATCAGCTGCATGCTATGGTCTCAGGGAACACACCAGAGAGAAGTAGTGTAGTCTGGCCCTTAAGGGGCTGCAACTCAAAGGCAGTAGAGGGACTTCTTCCGGCTGCTGACGGCAGCGTGCCTGTGTCTCTAGGCCACTTTCCCACCCCTCCCTTGAACATGACGTGTCTCAGGACCACAGAGAGGCATGCCACAGTTGAGCCCTTTCTGCTTGTTTGCAGTCTAACACGCTGGACAACATTGCTTACATCATGCCTGGACTGTGACCTCCAAGAAGCCTGGGACAGAAGCCTGTCTACTCCTTCGCTAGTTTGTGTATATATGACTGTCCCAGACTCTCCACTGATCTCTGGGTGTAGGTTTTTAATTTTTATATCTACCTATACATATATATGATGTACAGTATATACATAGGATTATAACTACTTTGCTTTTATGAACTGGCAAGGGTTTAGCTAAAAAGGAAACTTTGGCATGAATGTGGGCTTGGGATTATTTTTTGTGTGAAAAAAAATCTGCCTTAAAAATCAGTGTAATTTGGGGACTAGGGGCTTATTCTGGGTGCCATGTGTAGCTCGTTATAGACAGCTAAAATGTGATTTTTCCCCCCCAAGCTTGGTTGTACCTCCAGACCCATCACTGACCATTTGCCTTACCTGTCTTATAATTGGAAATGTAGTAGAGATTATGGGAGGAAGCCTGCTGACTACAAACTATTTGACTCAAAGTGACCTGGGGGAGGTAGAGAGGCTTGGGTGGACTGATAGGGGACTCATTCCAATTCCTACTAAACAGGCATCTGTCTCCAGTTTTATTGTAACCATTGTCACCACAGAGTCGTTGATACCACTGAAAGCTTGAGTTACGTGATTCTTAGCAGCAGAGAAATAGCTTGGAGAGGCCAAAGCTGTTGGTGCCATTGTTGAACCTATATTGGCTGGCCAAGGAGGCTCGGTCTGTAAAAACCAAAGCTGGTATCTTTTGTTGGCAGCATTGGTTGGCCACCAAATCCTGAGACATTTTGCAGCTTCTTAGTTCAGCTCTGGTTCCCCTGATGGGCAGATTGTGCTCTGCATTCCACACACACGTGGATCACAAAGGAATCCTCGGTTCTCAGTGGGGTTATCTATGTGTGTATGTGAGCCTATATTTTAATTATGTGTATTTAACTCTTTAGCATTTTTAGACTTTAATTTATCCTGTAAATTTCTGTATATATAATTTAATAACAAGCCTCCACCAGCAGTAGCGTGTGGAGTATACAGACTTGTCATTTCTTTGTGTTTGTCTAAAAGCTCCAGGTCATCCATATATTAAGGTGTTATGACTCAGAAAGAAGCTTCATGGCCCTCAATAATGTCAGGAAAGTGAAGTAGAGAGAAGTGTCACAATCCCCACTGCCCTTACCCCAAAGGCCTGCTTCCCCATTAGAAGACAGTTGAGTACTCCAGGGTTGTTTGGAAACTTGTGTGAGATTCCCTTCCCTGCCAAAACCATGCTGAGGTAACCCTGCTTTCTTCCTCTGGCCTAAATGGAACAGGGCAGCGTCACAGTAAGCTTTGGGGACCATGTAGTCAACTGCCATCCTGTTTAATTCCTTCCCACAGCCTCACTGTGTTTCACAGCTTAGTGCCTCACAGGTGTTCCAGACATCCAGTCTTTGTCAGCTCAGAGCAGTTTTGAGATGTAATCTGGGAAATGGAGAAAGAAACAGGAATATGTGGGAACTGAAGTCAAGAAGAACAGAAATTTAGATTTCAGCTAACAAGTCAGAACCTCATTTGAACCTGCAGAAGTTTCCCTTGAGAAACAGGGCGTGGAGAGGCCAAGAAGACACACGTAGTGCAGGAAGTTTCCCTTGAGAAACAGGGCGTGAAGGAGAGGCCAAGAAGACACACGTAGTGCAGGAAGCAGCCAGACCTCCGCTACCATTGCTACCGACAGCAGTGACTCCTCATAAGAACGGCTTTTTCCTGTCTGTTCTCCTGTGAAGTCTAGCTCTGTTGTATTTGTATTCAAGATTTGTACACATTTGTATAATAATCTGTAACTTGTGGTATTTGGTACTATTAGAGGAAAACCTTTGGATTCAGGCCTTCTTGCTGTTTTTATATCATTGTTTTATTTTGTTTTTTAAATAAATCCTAGTGGTTTGATCCAAATCCTAATACAGTTGTATAAAAAAACAAAATTTTGTACTTATATTAAAGATCTCATTTTTAATATTTGTAGTCCAACCCTAGCTGTCTTTTCCCTTGGGTTAATCATAGTTGCTGTAAAATTATAAAACTGTTCTTCACTCTATTCGACCCTAATTTTTCCATAAAAGGGGGCAGGGGCTGAAGAGATGGTTCAGTGGTTAAGAGTACTCCCTGCTCTTGCAGAGGACCCTTTAGGTCCCAGCTGGAGAGGGTCAGGCACCCTCTCCAACCTCCTTAGGCATCGGTACAACACACACACACACACACACACACACACACACACACACACAATTTATATTAAGAATTTTAAAGCCAAAACCTGAAATAAAGGTCAAATTTTCATATTCTTAGCCATCCTGGGTCTCAAGCTCCCAAATATCATTTGCATCTTGTAAAACTAGAGAATCTGAAAATTGTGGGTTTAATGCTTGACAAATGAAACCATATACATTATAGTATTGGCCGAAATCAAGTATCCATCAATCTTTTGTCAGAGCTGCATGAAAATCCTATGCCAAAAAATATACAGTTCATGTCCCAGGAACTTCCAGAGTCTTGTCTGAAGGGGGAAGAAAAAAAAAGATTCGTGTCTCTAAGTCTATAGCCAGCCGGCCTAAAATGAATGTTTGGTAATATTATGAACATTAAGTATATGGAAATTTGACCTTTCACGGTTAAAAAAAAAGTTAATGAAATACAACATGTTAAAAATTATAAGTAGTGGGGCTGGAGAGATGCCTTAGCTGTAAAGAGCACTGGCTGCTCTTCCAGAGGTCTTGAGTTCAATTTTCAGCAACCACATGGTGCCTCCCAACCATCCATAACGAGATTTGGTGCCCTCTTCTGGCCTGCAGTCAGAACGCTGTATACATAATAAATCTTTAAAACATTGTAACAAAGCAAAACTGGTATTAAAGGCTGGGTTTTAATGATGACGAATATAATTCCAACACTCAGGAGATCTGAATTTGAGACCAGCCTAAGAAGAGTAAAAAAAAGGCTGCAGAGCACTGGCTTGGTGTGACAAGGTCCTAGGTGCGAGCTCCAGCACTGCCAGCTAGGGAGGATGAGGAGTGAGATGGTTCACAGGTACTAGCTGCCACATTTACTCTCTGAGACCTACGTAATGAGAGGATTGATTCCTGCATGTTGTGACCTGACCCCTATATTCACGATGACACACACACACTAAAGAGAAGTATTAAAAAATGTAAAACATGTCTTATAAGGACACACCAAAGAAGAAATCACCGTCACTGAATGCCCATTACTGAACGATTTGCATGCCATCTTAATACTCTCAAAGCGTTATGGATAGTGTCCCCCTTTACTACTGAAGGAAACAGATGCAGAAAAAGCACTTTCCCAATTTGCCAAGTAGAACCAGCCTGTGAGGTGGCTTGCCACAGCCCTGGGCATAGACGGAGTTCATTCTGTCTGAAGGGAGCACAAACCCAGGCCCTTGCCTCCTCTGGGCTACCCACAGGGTGGCTCGTGGGGCAGGGAGACATCAAAAAGTCAAGGAGACTGTCACTCTCAGGGCTACGATCCCAGGACTAAAGGCTAAGGCACAGACACGAGCCTGAGCCTGAGCTGCTGTAACCTGATGCAAGTCGGCCCTGGCCGGAGACCCAGCTTCCGGATGTGAAGACTTCTAGGCTCCCAGGCAGACTGAGCGGAAGCCTTTCAGGGGCGTGGCTTAGAGGGCGGGGCCTCGGGGCTGTGCTCCAGAGCCGCCGCCCCGCGGGCCGGCCAGATGGTCACGTGACGGGTCGGCGGCGCCGGCGGTTGCTGTCACCTGATTCTGGGAGCTGGTGGCAGTGGTAGCCGCGGCAATGGACTTTCTCCTGGGAAACCCGTTCAGCTCTCCGGTGGGACAACGCATCGGTGAGTCCCGGGAGCCGCGCGCGGCCCCGCCCCCGTGTGTGGCGCCGGCCGAGACCTGTCGGAGTCCCCAGCCAGAGCCGGGAGGAGGGAGGCAGGCGGCGAGGCTGGCGCGGCGCTCTTGGCTCCGCCCCGCCCGTGTTTCACCTGATTGACAAGATTGCAGACCAATCGGAAGCCTCGTGTGGGGATTGATGCTGAGGGTGACCAATGGGCAGGGGGAGAAGGCGGATCCAAGCGGATGTGGCTCGGCCAATGCGCGCGTGCTGGGGTCCAGAGTGGAAGGAGAAAGTTTGGGTTAAAGGGACGGCTGTGGTGAACGGGCTTTGGGCCCCACCGCCGCCGGGCTCGGGCAAGCCGAGGGCCCTCCCGGGTTGGCCGCGCTCAGGTCATTCCCCGCGTCACCGGTCGCTCGCATTCCGGGACACCGGGGTGTCTGGGCTCGGCCACGCCTCTGTCCCCGCGGTCGGAAGACTCGGGTCTGTGTGACGTCGCCTCCGTGGTGTTTCTCGCCCGTAGTTAAGGGACGGTGGCCCGGCCTTCCTGGGCTTGTTTGATCATTACGTGCATTATTAAGCGCAAGGCACTGACGATGCTGCCTGACCTGTGACTAACGCTTGTCATCGTCAACCCGGTGGGAACTGGAGCCCGGGGGAGGTGCCGGCTCCCAGTGCCTACATTTCCCCAGGGATGGGTGGTCTGGGTGTGAGTCCTCTTGTTGTCTGAAGGGTCTCGACAGCATTGTGTAATTCTTTTTGATGGCTTTTCTCCTTGGGTTCAGACTGGGAACGCTGGGTCTTTTAGTTAAGGCATTCTTTGCATTCTTCCTGCCTTGGAAGCCAAGGCTTCCCCGAAGTCGTTAGCCCAGCTTTGTGTTGTAACCGCCACTGCTGCTGTTAGTGGCCCTTTGGAGGTTCTCATCAGCTCTCCGCAGGGGACTGCTAGTGCCTGAAACCCAGGTGCTTCGCCAAACCCCGCCTTTGAGTCCTTTTTTGGGACCTGTAAAGAGAAGGCAACCCTCTTCACAAACTTTATGTAAACACAAGCTAATTAGTCTGGTCTTCAGAGCCAACCACAAAGCCCTGAGACTTTCTGGATAAGCTTATTTGGGTTCAGTGTGTCTATCAGTTGTTCAAAATTCAACATTCCTTCCTACCCTGAAAGGTTGCCTTCCTTGGGCAAGAAATATTTCTGAAGCCGGGCGGTGGTGGCGCACGCCTTTAATCCCAGCACTCGGGAGGCAGAGGCAGGCGGATCTCTGTGAGTTCGAGGGTAGGCTGGACCGACAGCCTCTAAAATAATACAGAGAAACCCTGTCTCGTAAAACCAAAAAAAAAAAAAAAAAAAAAGAAAGAAAGAAAGAAAGAAATATTTCTGGACAGACAGAATGCTGTCATATCAATACCTCGGTGCTGACTATATTTCACAGCTGGACCCTCCCTTTTTCATGTCAGAATTGGCTGAACCCATCAGATTCAGACTGGCAGTAATGCTCTTTGCAATTGGCTAAGAGACCACAAATTTTAAAACCTCCCACCGGAAGTGGTGGCTCACACCTGTGATCCTAGCACTTAGGAGACTAAGGCAGGAGGATTACCACCAAGTCTCAGGCTACCTGGACTACAAAATGAGTTTCAGGGCAGCATGGGCTGCAGAATAAGACCCTGATTCAAAAAAAAAAAAAAAAAAAAAACAGTCTGCTCAGTTCTGTTACTGAGAGGAGGGGATTGAGTTCTACAAAGGGAAGGTGGTGAAAACTGAGACTCACCCAAAATCCCAGTGAATTGATAGCACGACTGAAATGAGCCTTCCAGGGCTACTAAAGGAGCCCAGTGTGGTGGAGCATGCCTGTGACCCCAGCACTCGGGAGGCTGAAGTGGGGATATCTTGAGTTCAAGTGCAGCCTGGACTGAGAGAGCCATACTTTGAACAACAATATCAGTATTCTGTACTCTTCCATGTATAGACAGACAGAAGTACTAGAGATTGGAAGGTGTGTGTGTATATGTATCTGTCTGTGTGTCTGTCTGAGTCTCAGTGTTGCCCTGGTTGGCCTGGAACTTATGGACTCAAGCGGTCCTCCCTGATCAGCTTCCAAGTATCAAGACCTTGCCCCTGTGCCAATGGGCCTGGCTGGCTGTGATGATGGATGGTCAGGTTTTAGGTGCTTGTATTCCTGTAATCCTGACCACCACCACCCCCCCTTTGCTACAGGAATAAAATGGTGTCTTCTCAGGTCTGGCCTCATGGCCTGAGAGTAGAATCTCGTATGACTGGCATACCAGAGGACAGCAGTCACGAAATGGTGCTAATCAGAGCCCAGTGTCACTGGCCTCACATTTCATATACACCTTGATGCTTGCTGGTCTCACTGCCTGCAGTGTCTGCTTCTGGGAAGAGCTGGGCTCATCCCTTAGAGCCCTGGGCACCGTCACCTCCTCCCCAGGCCTTTCCTAACTCCAGCTTCACTCGCTGCTCTCACCTCAAGGGAAATCAGAGACAGTTTATCTCTGAGCCAAATATGAATTGCTGTGACCCAGGAACAGATTCCTATTTCCCCCACCCCAAATAACATGTTCTGGTATGGGAAATGATTCCATGATGCTTTCGTAGCTACAAAACAAAAACAAGCCAGAAATCAGGCAATTGGGTTACAGCAAAACACAGATATCTATGCTGCACATCTCAGGTGCTAGCTGATGGCATTCCTAGCTCTTGGGTTGGTAGACACTAGTTTTCTATTAACTTATTCCAAAGGTGTTACCTGATAGTCACAGACTTAGTTAGGTCACACGCAGAGATGGGCAATACGTGCTTACTATAGGGTCTAAAGCAAGGTCATTTGTCGCAAGATCTGCAACATTTCCACTCTCCACAATCACAAAGTTGTAGTCAGTGAGCCTTTTCTGGGAACTTCAGTTTGTTCCTGCTATCTCAGTGTTTGTAAGAAAGCCAGTTCCCCGGGGAGAGAGGGTGTAGGGAACCTCAGCCCCTGCTGTCTCACCATGGTTCACGGTTTCCACCTCCATCACACACCCACCAGCATCCCTGCAAGTCTGCCCTCAGGCTAGGCTTGACTTGAGATCAGGAGCTAGCCCTTCCTTTCCTGTGCCTTAGCACCTAGCAGAAGGTAAAAAAGAAAAAAAGGACATGGCTGCTCCTAGGTGTGGTGGAGGAGAAAGTTTGTTGTAGACTAAAGGGAGAGCATAGTGAGTGAGCCAGACCATGTAAGGAGATGGGGATGGAAGAGGAGACGCGCGCACACACACACACGCACACACACGCACACACACATGCACACACGCATGCACGTACACATGCACGTACACATAGAGGGTAGAGCTGTCCTTGGAATCCCAAAGCCTACCCATGGGCCCATAGACAGAAATCAGAAATGAATGACCAGCATCAGGGCTCTGGGGGTCCTTTGGGGCAAACAGGCTAGAAACACACAGGTTAGGCCATGTTGTAGACGTTGAGCAGTCGCTGTCTACTGCTGACTATTGCGGTCTTATCTTCCATCCTCATCTGTAATGAAACACAGAGGTGCCCCCACTCCCCCCCTTCCCCAGACTGTTGAACAGCAACTGAAAGGTAGTGGGAATGGAGAATAATCAGTACTACAAGGCACAGAGGCAGTGTGGTGTTACAAGAAGCCAGGCTTAGGGTAAGCAGCCAACTCTGGACCTGTCAGAGATGTGCCAGGTACCTTGTTCCTAATGAGATCTCGTGCCCCCTCTTGATGAAAGGTAGATGTCAAAGGAGAGGGTGCCTAGAGGACTCTTACATTGGCTAGCAGGGTGGACTAGAGCCGGCTTACTCTGCAAAGGGCTGCACAGTCAATCCTCAAGGCTTAGGAAGACCATATGTTAAATACCTCAACAAGGCCATTATTGCAAAAGCGCAGCCAGAGACAACAGGTAAATGAATGGATGTGGCCATGGAATTTGAGTTCATGTCATTTCCATGGGCCATTAAGTATTATTGTTGTCGGTGTGGTGTTGCATGCCTTTCATGCCCCACTCAGGAAGCAGAGGCAGGCAAACCTCTGTGAGGTCCAGGCCAGCCTGTTCTACAGAGTGAGACCATATCTCAAAACAGTGTCTACAGAGGGCTAGGCCTTGGCTGGACAAATACTAGCAAAAGGCCCAAGGTGACCTTGACTCAGAACACTAGCTCTGTGTCCTGGAGTAGGTTATTAATCTCACTATCTTCCGGTCCTTCATCTGTAAAAGGAGGCTAATAATAGCACCTGTCAGGTGGGATTGCTGTGGCATCTGTGGCATTTGAAGCACTTGGCCTGATGGCTGCCAGACAGGAGGAGTCCACAGCTGGGGATTCCCATTGGTGGTGTCACTCTTCTGGGCACACTTGGTGACAGCTAAGGTAACAGTGCAGGGCCCAGACTGCAGGGCAGCTTCTGTGTTGGTCCTTGTGTCCCGGGCTATGAGCAGTGCACTGGGTGGCAGCACATTCTCAGGCAGGTCAGGTTTCAGGCTGCGGTGGGGCCAGTTCTCCTGGGGATAGGGCTCAGCCCCACTGTGGACTGAGCTGGTGAAGAGGTCTTGTTCCCACGTGGAGCTCTGAGAAATAAGAGTAAAGTTCTGGATTTCTGCTCTCAAAGGGTAATGTTTGGGCAGGTAAACTGAAGTCCTCAGTGGAGAGCTATCTTGGGGCTGTCACTTGGTAAGGAGCCCAGAGATTCAGGACAGTACTAACGCTTAGCCCTCTGATGAAGGAGGTCCTGAGCTAGGCCAGTGCTGTCACACCGCCACATCCACCTGCCACCTTTTAACCTTTTGTACTGCATGCCTCCTTTATTATTACTTTCATGATGTCCCTTAATTGGCTCACTCGCTCGTTTACGTCCATGAAGTCATGACAGCGACCTTTACACAGTGAGCCATCTCACCAGCCTGGGGAAGGTAAATTTTCAATGAAATTAATAATGAAATATTAGACCCTCGCAGGCAAAGATTGCCCTCTATAGTGTGGATGATCCTTACCCAACCCGTTGAAAACTTTCCTGGGAAGACTGGTCTACAGAGCGAGCTCCAGGACAGCCTCTAAGACAATACAGAGAAACCCTGTCTCGAAAAACCAAAAAAAAAAAAAAAAAGAGTTCAGGGGAACAGAAGAAAGGCAGGGAGACAGTTGGGTTGGTTACGTGGTTGCTGGTCTTAGACTCAGTTTCTCACACCCCGTGAGAAGCCGGGTGTGGTGATGTGTACCTGGAATAGCAACACTGGAGGCAGAGACAGGGTACCAGCTGGACAGCTTCAGGCTCAGTGAGAGCCACTCTCAAAAAAGATGAAGAGCCGTCGAGGAAGACATTCAACACTGACCTCTGACTTCCACACATATTCACACAAATGCACATGAAACTGTGCACACACATGTGCATGCATGTACCATGCAGCGCACACATACAACATAAAAATAAAAGAGAAATGGAAGACTAGAAGAGCGTGAGAGAGTGGGGGAGCATGCAAACATCTGTGGGCTCCCTGATCTTAAGGGCTCATGATTGTAGAGGTTTAGCAGGTCCAAAATCTCCAGCCAAATGAGAGTCAGCGCCGGATGTGTCTGCTGGCAGAGTTTCCCTTTATTTTTTGGAGACTGTACTGGAACTCACTCTGTAGACCAGGCTGGCCTCGAACTCACAGAGATCCACCTGCCTCTGCCTCCCGAGTGCTGGGATTAAAGGCATGTGCCACCACCTCCTGCCTTTCCCCTGAACTCTTAACTGACCCCAGCACCCTCTCCACCCCCTGTACCCAGTCTGTGCACACGTCTTGCACAATCACAAGTGGGGTAGAGAATGTCAGCAGTGCTCATCTCCTGCATGGTCTTCCTCCCTCCTGCCTGAACAGCTTAGGAAACTAAAGTTTCTCAGCGAGGAATTGAACCAAACACCTGACAGCCTGGAGACTCAGTACATTATTGCACAAACTCACAAAGACCCTCTCCTCTCTGCCATCCAGAGTG